GAAAATGATTCACAAAATGTCAAGTGCTGGATTAATGTTTCTCTCCTCACACGTTAAGTTATTATGTTAGGTGAAGTTCTTTCAGTTGGTACCAATTAAGAAAGTAGGCTATTCACGATGAGAGAAGTTGATGAGCACCTTGAGAGCAATTCTCATAATCATTTTTCACCCATTTCAGTTTTGGATAATATTCTCCTCCTCACTGTGAAATTGTTTGAGGTTTATCAGATTAGACACTTTTCAAATTAAGTTTCCTTCCTTCTCAGGACTTGTTACAGGAGATTAGAAGGATTAGGATTTGTTGCATGCATGGTTCGTCCATAAGTACTGCTATTGAATCAGGATTAAATATACAGTATTTAGAGTCAAACTGTCAAGTAGCTGCAAAAAATTCAGTTTGCCTTTACACTGAACAAAACATTTCTAGTTTTTATTGTTTAAGCTATCATCTTGAAGGCAATTGGGCTTGATTTGATGCATAAACATGTTTGAAAAATCACAAAAAGCAGAATGAAAGATATTGTCCATCGGCCAACTGCCCACAATGAGATCCCCTGGAGCTGGACATTTAGTAAAACACAAATAAGACAGCCTGTCATTTTATAGTCACCGAGCTTTTTATTTTTATTTAATTTTTTTGAAAAGCTTCCCAATGTGAAAGAAAAAGAGCACATTATGGATACTGTTACTTGGTATTTAAGAGCCAAACGTAGTTAAAGTTTTACTGCCACTCATATCGATGATGCTTTTAATGCGTTTGGCCGTTATAGGAAGGACTGATGAATATACAGGCATTCATAAAATAAATTGGTCCCAGGGTTATTTATCCTCTTAATTCACACAAACTGAACATTTTACTTGTTTTAAGAAGTGGTTTTAATAAAGTGCTAAACAAGAAGCTAAACTGTAAATACACTGGCTGGGATTGCATGAAAACAAAAAGCTAAATGTAAAGGTTTGTATCCAGCTCTGTGCGCTGTATTGATTTTATTTAATTTTTTATTGGACCACTGCCTGTTTATTTATATGACCCATGAGCTTCTGGTCTGTTTGCCCTGAAGGTACTGTGTGTTGTGTGTTATCATATCAGCATTTTTCTTAGTTGCTATGTGACCACTTCAGGTCTTTAGCACATCATTGACCACTGATCGGTCCTCAGAAGTTGGTTGGTTTGAAGAACAGGTGATAACGTGTATTGCCAAGATTCAAAAATAAAGAGCTGGGGAGGTCAATTTAATCAGATTTAATTCCAAACTCAGAGTTCTTCTTCAATTTTATCCATTTCAATGTTAATTAAAGGTCTAATTTGTAGCAATAGATTATTCATAGATTAACTGTTTGCAGTTTCCCTTAAACACCACAGCTGCATCATTTTACTGTTTCACCCTGTTTCAGTGTCCATTTGCTCATTGAGTTTGGGGCTTCTGGCTTGAGTCACCTACAAAATGGATTATCATTTCAATAAGCCAATACATCATTGACTTTAATTGACCACATCATGTTATTTACATTTTTACACCAACATTAACATGTAAAATCACAATAAAAAGTAATTTTACCTGTTGTAAAACAAATTGCAAGAACACACATTTTGATAGTTCACATGATATACAGGGAATCTAAAAAGACTAAATCCACCTGTACGTATAACTTCCTGTTATATGAAGCTTCATTGTCATGCAGATTCTTAATCAACAAACCAATTAGCCTTCTGCATGTGGAGCACAAATACATCTTTGTACTTCGATTAGGTGCAAAACATTAACCTACTGATTTCTACAAATAATTCATTTTAGGTGTAATTATTTTAAAATGGGATCATTTTTTTCAACACACTTAATACTTTTCCTTAATTAAAAACATAAACATAATGTTTTCTGTGTGGSTCTTCTAATTAGTTTCTATCATAACCTTGATAGATTAATTTATGGTAAAAGCAGTCAAAYAAACACTTATTTACTGACTCCTTCRCTATAAATGTGGAGCATATACTGTATTGTTGTTCTTTGTAAAGATTGTATTTTACTCTAAATCTGCTGCAGTAAATTAGTTTACAAAGCTCTTATAATGTTGTAGTGCACTTCATATGTTCAAGCCTCCATCAGCTCTCAACAATAAGTGAGCAAAGTTCATTTGATTTTACTCCTTGTCAAATTTTTTTCATACACTTGAATAAATTACTAGCTGGAGATTTATAATTCTAGAATTACTGTGGCATTCATTAAGCATGACTATTTCTGCACTTGAACATTTCCCCTTAAAAGTTTAAATAAGCAGTGCAACATTTCCTATAAATGTTGATTTTATGATTGGTTTAAGTTTGTCTAGGGAATGACAAAATTCCCAAGCATAAGTCTAAATATGGGAAGGAAATGAGATCAATCAGGAAGGTCAAACAGGAATGAAGGGAACAAAAAGTTGTTCTCTTTTCTATTTTGGGAGAATGTCTGTCAGATTCCCTCACTGCCAGCATTGGTGCTTGGTTTCACATGGAGTACGATGCTCACTAGACCACTGAGCTATAAAACTCTCTTATACACTGCTTCACAAGACGGTTCAAAGCTGTCATCAAAATAAAAGATTGCTACTCTGTGGAATCTGGAGGATGAAACATGACACAAAAGCCTTTGAATGTGTGTCCAAACATTTAGCCTCTGAGATGAAACATATATAAGCAGCATGAATAAACACTGGATGATTTAATGAGGAGGTGCAGCATGTAGAGACAGGCATTAACTGAAAACAGGCAATTAGCTTCGTGTTTGTTTTTAACTTAAACCCAGTGTTTTAAAAATGGTCAGATAAAACAACAAAGCTGGTCTTGTCATTCTGAGTGACACTGATTCAGCTTAAGAGACGCACATCATTCCACTTCATGCTTTTTGGTGCTGCAGCAGTTTAAGGTGCTTTTACTTTCAGGTCTGATAAACTTTGTATAAACGTTACGCAGCACACTCGTCTCTGTTTTAGAAAAACTAAAATCAACTGATTACCTACTGATAGACTCTCTGAGATGTCCTCATTATGTGTAAGAGAATTGTCCTGTATGGTGCATGTCTGTTCTCAGTTCAAAGTCCGGTCATGCTGTCCTCGAAGTGATACGGCCTTCAAACTATGACAAGAACGGTGGCACTGTTTTGTCTTACTGATAGGTTTTGTTCAAACGAGCACTCTGATAATCTGAGGTCAGGCAGAGCGTACCGCTTGGATCTGCTTGACATTTCATTTCTTAAAAAAAGTTACAAACCAACAAGCTACCTGTCACCCTTACATTTGTCATGACTGTTTACATGTTCAGTCATGTAAACCATTTTCATTGCACTGATATGAAATGTCTACCTTTTTGTCCACCTGGCTACCAGTTAGCTCAGTTCTTCCCTGCATCATTTTCACTACAGAATGTAACCTTTTGACTCGAGGAGGATCAGCTGAACAAAACACATGACTTCTCTGCGAATGTGTGTGAATTTAATTTCATTCAGTTGTTGACTGTTGCTCTAACTAAGTTTTAGGAGACTTTCAGTACAGAAAGACACGACAAATAAAGTGAACTCAGGTGGGCAGAGTGAAATTAGCAGAAAATGAATGTGTAAATCCACTTTCACACTTAATAAACGTGCTCCTGTCTTCATTTGTCATGAACACAATATGCAGTAAATGAGCTCGGATCAAATAACTGTGATTAACTGGATGCTATAAATTTTGTTCTGGAGTTTTCAACGACTTCTGAAAACAAAGAAGTGTATCRGTGTCGCTGCAGAGACGCTGTTCTTCATGCCCACAGTTGATGATCCTCTGACTAATCAGCTGTCTGCATTCCTTCTTTGTCACCGTATGGTTTCAGATTGACTTGTGAGCCTCAATTACAGTGTGAGAAAGGGAAAAACTTTAATTACAAGATAAAACACATGATGGAAAAGCTGAAATAAGTGAGCTTTAATGATTAATAATTGGATTGTCATGAAATTGCAAAAAAAATTGCATTATTTTCTTTGTGAATGCTGTTTAGTTTAAAAAAAACTCACAATATATATATATATTACAAAAATGTATTCAAGTCTGGTGACTCATTATATATATATTTTTTTTAATTCTGTTGAGGCCTGAACCATTGGACTTGTTTGTATTAAATCAGATTTTCTGTCAACATTATTAATACCTTGAAGACAGAGGGCAGAGGAGAAAATGAAAGTGAGGAGGAGAAGGTGCTGATAGAGAGCTGCATAATAAGCTTTTGGACCTTGCTCACTCCAAGTCATTTAACCAATAATCAAACTGTCTGACAGCTCTGAGATGATGCTTTGACTTCACTCAGTTCACTCTATATTCCCACACTATATTCATGGACTATGACACGACATCTTTTTGTATAATATGTAAAAGCGTGTAAGACAGAAACTAAATAGTTGCATCTGCTGCATTTTTGTCACCCCAGCTTCCAAATAGCAGCTCAAAGTTGGCTTAACTGTCCAGAATGAGGACCAAAGTTAGTTTGGGCTTTGCTGGTGAAAGCCTGGGTCCACTCATTGATATTCAGATGAGTGAGAGCTGTAAACAAGCAGAAAGCCCTGGTATTGGCACTCAAAGCATGTTGCAGGACACACAAACACACACGCGCACACACAGATAGCCTCTGCTTTAACAATGCTAGACATTCACATGTATACACACACACACACACACACACACACACAC